GCCCCCTTCAGATACTGGAAGGCTGCTATGAGATCTCCACTCAGCTTCTCTTCTCCAGGGTCAACAGCCCCAGCTTTCTCAGCCTGTCTTCATATGGGAGGTGCTCCAGCTCCTGATCATCCTCATGGCCTCCTCTGGACTTTCTCCAACAGCTCCATGTCTTTGTTATGCTGACAACACCAGCACTGCACACAGTGCTCCAAGTGGGGTCTCACAAGAACAGACTAGAGGGGCAGGATCACCTCCTTTGACCTGCTGGTCACACTTCTTTTAATGCAGCCCAGCACACGGGTGGTTTCTGGGCTGTGAGCACACACTGAAGCCAGCTCATACTCAGTTTCTCATCAACAAACACCCTGAAGTCCTTCTCCACAGGGCTGCTCTGAATCTCTTCTCCGCCCAACCTGTAGCTGTGCCTGGGATTGCCCCAACCCGGGTGTAGGACCCTGCACTTCACATTGTTGAACTTCATGAGGTTGGCACTGGCCATCTCTCACGCATGTCAAGATCCCTCTGGGTGGCATCCCTTCCCTGCAGTGTATCCACCAAACCACACAGCTTGGTGTCATCGGCAGACTTGCCGAGGGCACTTGATCCCCCTGTCCATGTCACCAACAAAGATGTTGAACAGGATCGGTCCCAATACCAACCCCCGAGGGCACCACTCATTAACCACATCCAGTTGGGCATTGAGCCATTGACTGCAATTCTCTGCATGTGGCCATTCAGCCAATTCCTCATCCAGTGGGTGTCCATCCATCAAATTGATGTCTCTCCAGTTTAGAGACATGGAACAACTTGAACAATGAACAACTTAGTAAAACATTTCATTAAAACTTAAGAAAAAACAAAGCTTCCTAAAGGCACAATCAGCTAAGTCAGCTTTGTGGGTAGAGCTTCTGATAGAAGAAGGGCTCCAAGTTCCTCAAGTCCTCCGTTACTGCAGCTTGTTACAGCTTCCCTTCCAAAGCAACAGGTCTCAAGAAGGGATTCGATAGAATTCAGTACTTAAAGACACAGCTAATGATTTCTTAAAACCTTCCTTAGCTGATGCATAGGTAACTTGAGGCAACATTTGAACAATTAATCTTTATACACTGCTTTCACTATCTATGACATGGCAGCCACAGAACCAGCAACAGAGAAAACACTGCCAAGCATAAGACTGACCAAAAATTTTAATGACTTTTGAATTTGTACAGATATGCCTTTTACATTGAACTGTTTCACATGAGCTGTATCATCTTTCAAGTTCTTCGATTTCCACAAATATTGACTAGAATTCCTAAGTCACTCAGTGTGGTTGGTGCCCTGAACCCTAAAAAGCAGAATGCTGTTAGCCATGGCAGAACATGCCCATCACAGTGAAAGCCTTCAGCTGCAATCAGCTTCCTTTTTCCTAAGCACTTGTTCATGCTACACACAGGAATATTGGCCAGTTTCTTTCCCCAAAGCATGGTCAGCACAAGATAAGCTCATGTTCTCTGGTCAGAAGTAGTGACCACTGCAGGCTAAGTTACAGTTTGAGCAGGTAAAAAACCAGGATATTTACATGTTGAGAAAAGTTGCCTTCAGTTCCATAGGAATCACTTATACAAATCAACGTTCAGGAGAAGTTCCACAGTAGTAGCTTACGTCAAACCAAAAATAGACATTTGATGCATACAAATTTTTAAAGCTTATTACAGGCATTGCAAGTGTGGGTAATAACATCAAAATATTTTTCAGTGACATAGCTACAATTTAAATTAAAAAATGGAATGTTATCAACAAGATTCATCTGTTCATTAGTGGTGATATTTGTACATATTTCATCCCAGCGTACAGTATTTTTGTTCAAGTTATTAAGAAGAGGACCACCCTGTAATGACCCTAATATCACATACAGGCTGGAACAGTGACACAACAGTCACCAACAAATTCAGTTCTGTGATGATGCAGTTACTTATAGTATGCTGCTTTTACTCAACAGAGCTGAAGTTACACCCCAACCCCCTTTTTTCTAGGGGAAAAAAAACCAAGACAGCCACACAAAACAATAGTGAAGTAGAATGGCTTTACTGAAACTCTGGGGAAAGTCTGACTTTCTTGCACCTTCTCTTCAGTGAGCTTTTTCTTTTTTAAAGTATAACCCGTGTAAGTATCAGGGGATACGTAACACCAGATTTGCAATAACCAAACATCTCCTTGAATTTCAGTCTGTAATAGCAGTATTATCCATCCAGCTCAGAGGCACAGGAAAGCTTGAGCACTTAAAACGTCAGTTTGTTACTTGAACTTTTTGTTCCCCTGCTTTAAAAACCAGATAGAGGAATTCAGCCTTTAGGTTCTTGTGCTTCCTACCCTGCCAGCAGAGCAATCAGCCTCAGTTTGCTCAGAAAATGTTTTTAACTAATCCTTCCAGTTGAGCTGAATTGTAAATTTTCCACCACTAAAGAATTTTAAGTACAACGTAGGAACAGATGTTGAACTGTTCAGGGGGGGTGGGGAAAGCAAGACTTTGGTCCTCCCAGTTCTCCACTAGATATGGGTTTAAGTTTCCTGCTTGATGCATAAAGATTTTTTATAGTAATTTTTCTATCTAGCACACACTAAAAGTCTGGCATACTATACAAGGCAGTATCTTACCTAACCCAACCCAATGATTTATATTATGTTTATTGAGGTCAACTGTGCTTAAAGTAATAAAAAATGAAATAAATGCAGAAGGACAACACAAGGCTAGGAAGACTGTAAGCAAAATGGGGAAAACCCAAGGGAAATTTGTTTTGCAGCTGGCTAAGCACACTCTCTCAATAGCTAAAAAACAAGTTAAAAAGCACATGTTGGAAATAAAATTAAAAATTCTTTTTCAAGTATTTGATAAATTAATATAAGACCATTTCTTAAATGTTAGGTCACTGATGACTTTTAAAAACAAAATCAGTAGAACATCATCCAGGAAAAAAAAAAGAAAAAAGAAAAGGCTAGTTAAAATATAGATGTGCCAAGCAATGAAGCTTAAATTAGTGCAGACAATTTTATATTAAATCCAGGTATCCAGAAATATACACAAGAGAATCACCCCGGTTTCCATAAAAGTTTAGAAAGTAGATTATGAAATTGCACTTAATTCTGAATTAATTCAGATAGCAAGTCATTCCCACTCCTTGCCGCTCTATTTGGAAGAAAAAGGGAACCATGTTCAAAAGAGTGAATTGGGTTTGTACATTCTATTCCACTTCCCAACATTTGGTCACAGACAAGGGCCATGCAGTTTCACTACCTGTCTTGACGATCAGAATCAGATGTCCTTACATCTGATACAGACAAATCTAACACAGGGTTTACAAATCCGGCGTATTCAGAATTGCCATTATCATCCATTTCAGCACTAACAAAGTCATTCTCCCACTCCAATCCATTGAAATCATCAGAGGCTGAAGGTGGATTACTTCCTGTCTTCTTGCTATTGAATTTCAGTGCTGCCCGGAGTATATCTTCTTCTGTTTTGGAGCGTTCTCTCATTGGAATCATCCTGTTCATGCCTGTGATTTGAGAAGTGTTTATGAGAAAGACATTGTTTTGAGGGAAGTACCTTTATGTTTGCCCTAGACCATTAGAAGAAAGAGCAGGAATCCTTTAGAAACCCAGACCCTGGTCATTTCACTCCTGTGCATCAGCATATTTTTTCTGGTGGTGGTGTTCATATTAAACCCATAGTTTGCAGTCAGTTTTAACCCAAATGAACACAATAGCCAGTGAGGTTGCTTTAGAGTTCTAAGGAACCCAGACAACACAACAAAACAACTCACTAGCACTGTTTCTCTCTCCTATTTAAGCCACCTGCTGCCCTATGTTATTGTTATGTAAATATTAGAAGATCTTTGGTACCATGCCATTTCCAGAAAAGCTTTAATGACTGGAGAAACCGGTAATGCTCCTGTAACTTCCTGACAAACAGATAAAACATCATGTGAAACATTTTAAACAGCCACTAAACTCTAGAGAGGTATTTGGTACATTTGTCTAGGAAAATTCTTCATTTTGTCTGAAAAAGTATATTCGATTTCACACAAAATAAGGCAAATGATTGGTTGAAAACTGCACAAGCACATCAGAGATGCTATTTATCAGCAATTACTGACTTTACAAAACCCAAACCACTGGAAAGTTAAAAAGAGGAGGATTTATGATGATCCTCTTATTTGCTGTTCTCATACATTCCTAAGTAAACTCCCCTTTTAAGTGTGGAGTAACTAGCTAATTAATTAATTATAATTAAAAAGCTCATATTGCAAGTGAAACACAGAACTTTTGCAGTGGGTAAGCCATAGGGGGAAAGCATGAGAAGAAAACTCCCTTCATCAGACTCCAAATGATAGATTTTATGTTACAGTTTCATGGCTCTCTTAAAACAGCTATTTTCAACTTTGTTATTACTCTGGTACCAATAGCTCACTGAAGCTGTTGTCCATCTGAAGATACTGTGCCAAAAATACCAATACAAAAATCAGTATTACAAGTTCCTTGTCTGCTATCTGTATATGACATCAGAGAATGAAAACTTTTGTGTGAAAAAAAATGTGTAATTCATCTAGGACAGTTATGGTTTCCCTGTTAAAAAGCTCCTAACTTGGCAACTTTTTACTCAAGCAATGTCATCTTTTGGTACTATTCTTAGTTGTTGGGTTTTTCAAGGATAATACCCTTGCAAAACACTGGTTCTTCTCTACTTTGCATTCAGCCCCCATATGACTTTGTCTACTAACAGCAAAAATGGGACCATAAATTAATACCCCAGTTCACACTAAACCCCACACACCCCTCTACTTTTTTAAGTTGTTCAGTCTCCACAGTAGATTTTGACAGCACACACAGTGACTAAACCTCTTACCCTGAGCAAGCAGTCAGCCCCTCAGGAAGATGGTTTTAATAATACACTTAAGTTGGTCCAGATCTACTAAGAATGTCCTAAAAACTACACAAAGCCCTTGCAATATTGGCTTGTACTTCTTTCAAATGACAGTGTTCCTTCCTTTGTAGCCATGAAAACCAGTTATGTTCTCAAGCAGCCTTCCTTACGTTACCTTACTAGGGAGAAGAGATGCGCTGCTGCCACAATGACCTGTTACAATTACTCCCCTCTGTAAAGCACAAGCTAGTAGGAATCAGAAATGCAACTATACAGTCATTTTGTTGTCTGGTTTTAGGCAGGTTTTGGCACTTCTCACCAATTTACACATTTTAAGACAAGGAACAAGCTGTTCCTTCTACTATTGGCTCACAAGAGGGCAGCATTTCTTCGTGAGTTTACAAGTCCATTTCACAAAATGCACGAAAAGACGTTGACTGAAGAATCGGAGGAAATGGATTAATTTATGAGGAATTTATCAAAATAATAAATTTCCTATGTAAAAATAATTTACAGTTTAATCATTACACACTTAAGTTCCATCAGAATTAAGTTCTAAATCACCTTCTCTTTCAAAACACCACTTTTACAATCAATATAGTTTAAATTATTAGCGTTTTTAACTTGGAGGTTCAGAATGAGACTGAAGAACAGAATAAATACCTTCTTCATCCTCCCACTCTAAATCTAATGAAGTGCTGTCATCATTTCCACTCACTGATTTAGTTTTGGTCATTAAGTCACAACTGCTCTCTGTGTTGGGTGTCAGCACTGTAGCATCAGATGAAAGTCCTAGATTAAAAAAACCAAACAAACACAACAAAACCAACCACAAACACAAAACAAAACCAAAAAACAAACAACAGACTATTTTTAATTCATATACATACTTGAATTTGAGGTTCAATATGTAAAACTGAACTTTCAAAGGAAGAGGGTTTTGTGCTTTGTGCCCTTTCAACCTCAGGAACACTTGAAAAAGCACTTCATCCATCACTTCAAAGCATATACAGTAACTTTTTAATAGTCAACATCACTAAGATATTGCAAGAGGACATTAAGCAATACTGTCTAACTAGAACTATAGAGAAATTGGGTAAGCTGTAAGTTGGATTTGTGTGAAGACTTGCAAGAAAACCCCCATACCCCAAACCAACCTTTCCCTCCAAAAATCCTTCAAACTACACGCGCTTGTTTCGCAAGAATTAACATCAGCCCTACAACTGCTCAGTGACTATCAAGTACTGTCATCAACACATGGATCTAATTGTATAAAATCATTTTCCTCTATACAGTTAGCAGAATTTTTAAATATAGGCAGCTGAATCCACTCTCTCACTTCATTAAGAAAAAAAATTAACCGTTAGTATGATTCTACGTATGTTGCTGAGAGATTATTAAAAAAGCTACACACACACATTGGCATCTTTAATACACAGATGGGCTTTACAAGAGAAGTTCACTGCATTGATGTTGCCTCCATGGAGCCAGTTGGAAAACTTTAGTAAAATAAAATCCATGTACAGGACTTGTTTGCTTACTTAACTTGCCTTTGGGTACTGCAGCGGCTGTAGTACAAGTTATAAATGCCAAATTTTGAACACTTGAAGCATCAGGGATTAGCGCGAAACGTTTTATCAAATATTTTTAATAGATATATGTATACACATTTTATATCCAAATGCGTGTATAAAAATATATAAGTAAATTATATTTATCTAGGAAAAGAAATAGCATTCTGTGCTCCTCAATCACTTAACACCTAAAGACATGCATAAGAAAAGGAAGACTTACTACTACTGCGAAAAGCTTCATACTGGAATTTCGTATTTCTTAAGAAAGAATCGAGATCTTCCTCTGCCACTGAGCTGCAAGAACAATGCACATATCGGTTTTAGCTTTATAAACCTCTCAGGAGCTTATAAAATAGATTAATCAACATGCTCCCCCAGTTCTGTGCTATGAAGCACATACACATTTAACTAAATCTTTATGCTTTTCCCATTCCTACTCATCACATCCTCTCCCTGAGCTTCTGCTTGATTTTCAGTAGCATTTTCAGTTAAAAATGAATTCTGTCACAAAATTACCCTTCCTCTCAATCTTTGTCACTTTACATAATGCCTCCTTAATTTTCAGTTCCTTTTTTAGCTAATGAATTCAAATCCTGCTACTTGTAGTCCTTCATTCCTAAAATCTGCCTAGTTCCTCCCACGCCATAAACCCTTAGTTTTTACAGCTCATTTTCTAAACGTACTTCCATAACCAAAAATCCCTCCTACCCCCTTATCTTCCATTCAAAAATAGTTTTTCAATTTCAGGGTCTTCTCTAAACTCAGATACCATTCAACAGTAAATTTCTTCAGATTACTTTTGCTTTTCTCTCCCCCCTCCCCTTTTTTTCCCCCCCTAACACAGAAGGTGGGAGTGAAGAGCATTAAACGGATAGTATTCATGAAATAACAGGCAGACTATATAAACCATTCAATTCCCCGTTTGATTAGTGTGTATTTTCATTGGACATTTCAAACAAGGTTCTGAATAATAAAGATATTTTTATATTAGCCAAGAATTACACATATAAACACCTTTTTAATGTAAACCACTGATTTTGTGTGTGTAACTAGCTGGGAGTAGGTTCAATTTTGTATGCATCAACCTAATAACTACAGTGAAAACAAGAATGAATGCAAGCTACCCTCTAATTTTGCAGGTTAATGGTAACCAGTTTGCATTCAGTAACTACTTGATGTGAAGAGAACTGCAAAGAATTAAACCAATTCTGACTTAGAAATGCTGTGTATGTAAGGTTTGAAAAATGTGGTGTGTTTTTCTTTTTTTGGTCAGGGAGATGAGGAACAGGAGTAAAAACAGTCACAGTTCTCGATTATCATGAAAAAACTTTACACCTTACCTCTGATAGTCTCCATTATTAATAGCATGTGCTCTCTGGGTTATCCTTTGCTGTCTACGTTGCTATCAAAACAAGAAAATAGTTGAAAAAGCTGAATGCAATCACTCAGAGTAATATACTCAATATACTAAGTGTTGCCTTAACTGAGACATTAAAGGGAGCAGTGTCCTGGTCCTTGGAGCAGTTTCAGTATGACCCAGGAAAAGACTGACTTTCAAGTGAAGGTCAAATTTTAGGATACTGAAGGGACTAAAGATGCATGTAGTATTGTTCTTAAATCTCAGATCTAAAAGCAGGCAGCTTGCTGAACAGAGCTCTCAACATTTTACCTATTTCATCCACCATAAAAAAAATAAAAACCAAAACCTGCATCAATTTGGCTAGCAACCTGTGTATACCACCTCATTCATGATTGCATCTGTCCTCTAGCATCCTCTCTTCTTAACAGGCATTTTCAGCACCTGGGTTACATTTGATTCCTTTTGGTCTGTGCCCAAGAACAGTCAGCCTATCATTTGAAAAGAAACGTTTCCTACAGGTCCTTTTATCCCTGTACAAAGCAATACCACCAGCTCCTCCAGTTGCCTGTATCCTCACTAAGTGCTTCATCTATATTAACAAAAGCTTTGATGTCTTGCTGAGCCAAAAGTATTAATACCTCTGCATTCTTGAGGTAGAAAGCTTTCATAGTATCCATACACAAAACCAGAATCAAAAATGCAAGACAGAAGCCATAAATGCATTTACTTTGCAGTTACAAGAGAAACAACAGATGTCACGGCAGCAGAGTTCTGCTTGAGTTTTAGGGTTTAGACATTTCAAAATGTCTTAAGTTTCTTTTCCTTGCCTTGAGAAAAGTGGGAGCATAAAAATTGAGCACAGCAACTTTGTGATTGAAGGTAAATCAGTCATGAAGCAGTAATTGTTCACTGATCACATCAAAGACTAAGCTAAAAACAAATGAGCTAGTTTTACAGCCAGGTCTGGTGTATCTGGCTACCATGTTTTCTGAGAAATCTATTCCCAAATTTAATGGATCTGTCCCTGCAAAAGAAAAGCAGGGGTAAATAAGCCAGAATGTTTAATGTCAACTTGAACTTCATTGGGTAAATTGTCTTGCGAGATAACTGCACTAGATCAAGTATTTTTCAATCCCAAATGCTGATGGCTTCATTTCTTGGAACACTTTCCATCTCGGGTATTTAAATAAAAGTATCAGAATCAGCAGATGGAAACCAGTAAGGCAATGTGAAGTGTAGAAGTATCACAAAATGGTCATCAGAGGTGAGAAGACTTAAGTATGAGGGAGAAAGGGACAGGAATTAGGCACCAACATAGTTACAAGCTGTAAAAGTCAATTACTGATATACACAACAATTTTCTTTTAAGATTCATATACCCACATAATAACCAATTTCAATTATCCATTCTGCCAGGTCACATATAAATATCTACCAATGTAAGGTCCAGGATACATGTATATTAAAATTCTCCACCCTTTCAAACCCTGACATTTAGTAGGGCAACATCAACAAGGCAAATCAGTTTTGAAGGGCTGCCAAACAAAAAAGCCATTCTCTCATTTAGAATACTGCTGCCCACAAACAGCAAAGGGAGGAGTTATGCATTAAAAAAAAAAATAAAGCTTCTAGTTTATTTAGAAAGGTTAAATGCTTGATGCCAATCTCAACAAAAATGCTGCCTTGGAAATCCGTATGGGTTGTATGCAAAGGAAATAAGTGGTGCTAATTTTAGAAGAGGAGGAAATTAGAATCTCTATAATGCATTTAATCTTAGGTCTTGACTAGAACAGGAGTATACAGACCAAAAGTGGTTAAAAAAAAAAAAAACCTGAACAAAAAAAACCCCAAACAACAAACAAAAAACCCCAAACACCACCAAAAAAAAACACAAAGAAAGGCAGACAAGGAAAAGGTCAGAAAGAATCGACCCTCCCATACCAAATAACAAGAGGCTGGAAAGATAAATGTGAAATGAGACCTATACTTAGCAACATAAATATTAGATGAAATCTGAGTCATCACTATCAGCCTGGGAACAACAATTTTCAATCCACTCTCTTTTGAGTATAGACAATACATGAGGGTTACAGATCTCCACGATACCTGTTGTAGATCACAGGCTTTTACAATTGGTCTATACCTGAATTTTGGAAAATTTAGTTCTAACTCAACACATGTGTAACAGGCTGTCTCCTACAACTGCAGCCAAACACTCTAGATGAACAGATAGCATAAAGTGAAAATGTTCTTCTTCTCATACACATTACTGGCAATCTGAAATTTGTGTCAGAACACCTACTTTGACAGGTTAGTAATACAGCAAAAGTATTAAATGCACTGATAATATGCAACTCTGAACTGCAGCATGAAAACTATCAGAACAGCAGTGGTTTTCAAAGAAGGAGGAAAACAATGTGGGCTTTCATTTTACTTGACCAAGCTCCAAAAGTGGGGACACCAGACATTTGAAAGTAGGCACAGACATATTAAATGAAGACTACGTTTAAGTCATTACCAGACTTTGGCTCCTACACATAGAAATCAGAAAATGAGAGAATTGAGGTTGGAAGGGGCCCAGGAAGTAAGTTCCAAGCAGGGCCAGCAGTAAATTCACAGATGCCTTGGAAACACTTATCTTCATGTTAGCACAAGCCACAGAGAAAAGGAACAATTAAGCGCACAAATATATAAAGTACATTTTACAAGTCTAAATCATGTCACAATGTATGCTTAATTTCAGGGTGTTTAACTAGAAATCCATCACAGATCACATTAAAGTTAGTAACTTCTATGTAACACAAGAAGTCTGTTAAGCTAATTATAGATTGAAATCATGTACCTCATTCAAAATCTATACTCAGCCACATAAGCCATTTCAAACAATTGTGATTATTTTCAGCTGTACTTTCAAAGAGTGCATTTCTCTCCTGGAATTTACAAGTCAAAACAATTTCCCCATTACGTTTCCTGAGATGTAAAGGATATTAGGCAAGTCTGCATACATAGAAACAGAAAAAGAAGCTCTGATATATATTGGGGTCTGTTTCCCCTCACCTCCAAGAACTTTTTCTGCTTTGCTGCCCTGGCTGCTTCACGTTGTGCAGCATATAAAGCCTCCTCTTCTAGTCTTAACTTCTCCTCTTGTAAGGCTAACTGTATATGAACAAAATAGTAATGGTTAACAAAAGCAGAACCTATCTATCTTCCTATCAATAAAGCCGTAAGTTCAATAAAACAAAAGAGCTACTAGAAAATAAAAAAATAAAAGAAAATAGACTACAACTAAAACATTTTTCTTCATTACCTGAATCTGACAACTTTCCCCCCACCAAACATCCCAAGAAATTCAGGTAACTAAACATTACCCTATGGAATAAACATCATGACTAGCGACTGTTGGAAATGCACACTGCATTTCACTAGGAACTGTAGCGCAAGACTTAAATCTTTTCAGTTGCGTATTTCATTGGTACTTTACTAAAAAGTCATTCACAATTTCTACATTGTATTTCTCATTATATTCCATTAATTACTGCAACAATAAAACAAAATGACAAATTATGTTTTTTTTCCTTAAGAAATGCTCTGGAAAAACCTGAGCACAAGAGAAGTTGAACCAAGTATACTCCCCATTTGTTCTTTCCTAAAAAAGTTCAAATTTAACAGATGTCAGTCATAGCACCAGCCTATACATTCAATTTTTCAGCCAAGAGGCTATTAAAAAGCAGCAATCTCTGATGCAAGCTTAGTTGTGTATCTTGTAGACCACAAAATACCAACTGATGAACAGAACCCATCTTTTCATTCATGCCAATGGAATCTCCTTGTGTTTACAGTTGATCTTAGCTAGTTTTAAAGAGAAACTCTCCACACCATACTAGCCATTGCAACTGCTTACCTCTGCCTGAAGCTTCATATCAACAACTCTCTGCTTCTCAGCAATGGAGTCATAATGTCTGTCTTTCAAGTTAGCAATTTCTTCCTCAGTCAGAGGTCTAAATTCATGGAAGAAACACAAAGAGACTCCATCTATTACTTACATATAACAACCCGAAGTCACACTTAAACATATGCATACAGTCTTTATTTCTGGTCCTCTAATGCAAATTCAACAAGTTGTGCTTCTGGCCTGCTCCTCCTGAGAACACAGTTTCAAAATTCTAGTTTACTCAAGACAACACTCTCTCTCTCTCTCTCCTTACTCTTAGAAAAGGATTTTTTGTATCTTTTTAGAAAGTATATTTTCAAAACACTGTTCACTAACAGAAATAATGGAATAAGTTAGTATCACTGCAGTGTAAATGTCACTTTTTTTCTTGCTTGTTTTGGTTCCCCCAATTGTAAATTGTTCCCCTTTCATCTGTTCCCTACTTTATGTCTGCTTTTACGCATCTAACAAACAAAACTGCAAAAGCATTATTATAAATTACAAGGTTTGCTACATCACTTCTTTGGGACCACTGACAGCAAACACTGGGAGCTCTCAAACTTAAACACAAAACATCTATAATCTGCCAAACAAAGCATACCCTTCAGAGGTTTCCTATAGTGCGGACCCCAAGTCTCTGTTGCTTATGTCAACATTAACACACTCACAGAAAATTCACTGGAGTGCTATCACTAACTCCCATTTAAGTTGTAAAACAGACTGGGAACAAGATTCTCTTTGCAATATACTGTTTTAACTGTCTTATACAGTTTTTGCACGAGGCATTATCATCTGAACTGTTTTGACGTGATTAAGCATTCAGATTAGTTTGGCATCTATCCTTTCCATGTATCTGACAAATAAAGAAAGAAGAGGTTTGACAGGAACTGTTAAAAATTTAACAGTCACAGCAGGAGAGCAGTGGGAAAGAGAGGTCCTGAAGCTCAAAGCCTTACCTGTGATTGCTTCCTGGGCTTTCCCCCTGTTAAAAAAATTTAAAAAAAAAAGTCTGAGTTTATGAGAAGCCTATTGACCAATTTTAAGACAGGAAGAACACCTGTATGAAATCAGTTTCTCCCATATATTGGTTTTATAGTTGGGGGCAGGGGAGGGGGGGAAGAGAGGAAGCAGACAAATCCTCTCTTTTAATTTAGAATAATAAAAAAAAAAAAATCTTGCTGTGCAATCAGCTGAAATGGCTCAGTAACACAAACAAGTTCCTCTAACTGATAATAAATATTCCAGTGGTCTATAAACTATCAGGCCTCATGTTTTAAAAATACAGGGCAGGGTGTTGCAAGTGAGGTGTATGTCCCACCTATTATCAAGCTGTATTAAATTCATAAAGTTTAAATGCCAACTTCTATTTTTCTGACATACAGTTTACCCGTAACTGTAAAAACTGTGAAGACACCCAAAACTTTCCTTAGCAAAGCAACCCTGGTCTGTTTATGTTCTCACAGAGATAGTATTTGCAGAGTCTTACACAGGAGTTACATGAGAAGCAAACTCTCCTTCAAGTCGTCCCCCCCACCCCCTTCTTTTCTTTTTGCCTTCTTAATGTCCCTAGTGCTCTCTTCCCAAAGGGGTTACTTCCCATACTGCCCCCAATGAGTTTTCTCTTCTCTTAGGTCTTAATTTCTCCTAAAGTGTTTAACTCTCATTCCTAGAGCAAGCAAAACCCAGAGTTAAAAACCCCTTGTGATTTAAGTTACAGCATCACATAAAGTGGAAGGAAAATACAGCTCTTGGAACCCTACTAGCAGGTTTCACAGGATGATATATGTACCTACCTCATCACTTTCCACCAGGTTCTCAAACTGCAGAGAGAAAGTAGTAAATAATCTTTACTATCCAATGCAACAAGTCACTAAACACATAGTACAAATACAATTATGTATTTAATCTGTCTTGTAAATACACTACTTCAGTGATACTCCAGGGACTTTAACAGCTTTTATGGAAATCTCTACTTTCAGATAAAGTATTACTTTGAGAGTAGGACCTATCTTCTTATCAAGGTTCCTTTTCTTAAAGCTTACGTTCGCCTAAAAAGAGAAGAGTCAAAATTAAAACACACTAATGTTTTTACAGCTTACCTGAGGGCCCTGATAAAAATGAAATCTCATTAGCTTGTAAGATTGCCAATAACTCTGTGTAGCTGAAGCAGATAACACAAGCAGGGGAAGGCATGGTACAGCTCCCACTCAGTTTAATAATGTAGAAAATAAGGGGTATGTCACATATAACCTCCATCTTGCATGTCAACTGTGCTGCTTATCAAGAAGTATTTTAAAATGTATTTAATTTATAGAAAACAATTACTTTCAACCTAGAACTCCAAAAACAACCGACTTGAACTATCACATGAAACCAAACAGAAATTTGCTGTCCTATTTTCAGTATAGTAGTATTACACATAGTCAATACACCGAACACAGAAGTCAATGCCTACAGCAAGACTCCTTGTTTGATCAGTACACTGACTAATAGCTGTAGGCAGACTACGAATAACAGTTTGGGAACAGGACAGAACTTTCTTTTTCCTGTCATATTTTTGCTGCAGAAATCCTCTCTCACAACTTGAAGTTGGGCACTAAACCAGATTTTGTTCTTAGTAACAGGGGCAATCTGAACAGTCCAGAACTTTTAGACTGTAAGGAACACTCAGAGAAAGTAAACCAGGTTATTCCAAGAGTCTCAACTTATAGAATCATAAAATAGTTAGGGTTGGAAAGGACCTTAAGATCATCTAGTTCCAACCCCCCTGCCATGAGCAGGGACACCACACACTAAACTATGTCGCCCAAGGCTCTGTCCAGTCTGGCCTTGAACACCTCCAGGGTTGGAGCATTCACAACTTCCTTGGGCAACCTATTCCAGTGCCTCACCACCCTCACTGTAAAGAACTTCTTCCTTGTATGTAACCTGAACTTCCCCTGTTTAAGTTTAAACCCATTACCCCTTGTCCTACCACTACAGTCCCTAAT